CGAATTGAGTACCGGCTCCTTTTTGGAAGTCGGCAGAAAAATAGATAAGATTTTACTGTAGTAGTGGGTATCACTAGCTAGCATTCTTAATTTTATCTATTTCTACTTCATTAAGTTCATATCGTATGTCTTGAAATAGAAATAGTGTTGGATTATTAACGAAATGTACGTTTGAAACCTTTTCTTTCATGGTGCTAACTACTGAGTGAAAGTAGCACGTATAGATCTTGTTGATTAATGGGAATACGTATTTCGTCATTTTTGTTAAAACTAGTTACATATGGTTTATATGAATGATACTCGAAACTTTCAATGCTCTGATCAATGCAATGATGTTTGTTGCGATATGTTTAAAATATTCATTTTACCAAAACAATCAGCTTAAGAAATTCTTTGTTAGTCTTGGTAAGCTTCTTTTTTAGCTGAAGAGGTGTGCCTTGGATACACGACGTAGGTAGGCTTTTATTGAAATTTAGCATATTTTTTTTCGGAAATGTAAATACAGTTATACTTCTTCTCTTCGTAAGTTATACGTGGTAGAGCCATGCTGCAATTATATTAGTATTATAGTTGTAGCACGAATGGGTCGGCTCGACCGGGGAAGTACCACGCTCTCACAGAATACCAGCAGAAAATAGCAACTTAACACTGCTGTGTTTCGTACGGTGAGTGTAGAGAACCGGAGACCCTTTTTACTGAAAAAGAGGCATTATATCTTAGTCTTCACGGGTGACAACGCATCTGCATTTTGATTTCCAAACGAGGATAGATGTAGATGTCTATGAGCCACAGCAACCACTTACCATCAGGTGGACTGTGTGCTCGTTTGTCACGCTATCCTATTAAAAAAAAAGTAGGTGATTGTATCGAAATCATTCAAGTTATAAAGTTTTTGGTGAAGTATCTCTTATTTACATTCTTCGATACATTATTACGGATGTAACATTGAAAGAAAAGTATCTTCAGACATGTAACTTATCTAAGATATAAGTATCTGAAATACAGATACAAGATACAAAATACGTATTTTCATCTTGTAACTATAAAACTTTTGTGAAATTCATTTCGTATCTTGTATTTAAATACCTTTTGTTTAGTATATTAGTATTTTGTAGATACTATGTTTGCTAAAATACTTTTAGTAATAGATAATAGATTTTAGTAATAGATTCATAATAGGTGACATTCATTTTAAATGTCAATGTTGTCGTAGATAAAACTAAACGCTCCATTGAGTCTTTGGAAGTAAAGACTAGAAATGAGTTGGAGGGTGGCTCGAACTTTAAGCCTACTTAGTTTGAATAGCCATCATGTAGAGGATGTTATGGGGGTCATGGTTGAATAGGGGCAAAAAGTTCTCATTACCCTCCTGGGGGGTCAAAATGGCCAAAAACCAAAAAATTGGGGGGTGGCTCGAACTTTAGGTATAGTCAGTTTGAATAGCCTATCATGTAGAGGATCTCATGGAGGTCATGGTTGAATAGGGGCAAAAAGTTCTCATTACACCCCTAGGGGGTCAAAATACGTGGTACGTTTTATACGTGGTAGAGCCATGCTGCAACTATATTAGTAGTATAGTTGTAGCGCGAATGGGTCGGCTCGACCGGGGAAGGAGCTCGCTCTCACAGAATACCAGCGTAAAATAGCAGCTTAATACTGCTGTGTTTCGTATGGTGAGTGTAGAGAACCGGAGACCCATTTTACTGGAAAGGAGGCATTCCATCTTAGTCCTCAAGGGTGACAACGCATCTGCATTTTGATTCGCACACGAGGATAGATGTAGATGTACCTATATGAGCCACAGCAACCACTTACCATCAGGTGGACTGTGTGCTCGTTTGTCACCCTATCATATAAAAAAATGGCTATAACTCCGCTTCCTTCGGAGGTTCTTACACAGTCTTTACTTCCCGCATCCCACTTGTTAGTCTGGGGCTAAATTAATAGATGGCGTGGCAATTCTTTCTTTCTACAAAATATCATCGGCTATGCTCCTTGACTCGTGTCATTGTAAATTATTCCGCATAATAGTCTGTGTTTCAGGAAGACACGTAAAAGTTTGGTCGTATGAGAAGCCCCTGTGGCGACTCTTCTCGTTTGGGGGCATGATCATGAGGCCTCATCGAAAACAAATGAGTGATAAACTGTTTGAAGAACTGGTTTTACTTAAGTCTCAATTAAAACCTTAAAAATATAATATTATGTTGTGTCACGTTTGCGTGATCAACGCGATTTACATGTAAAAAATAAACTTTCATTAAAAATGTTGTTTTTTTACAAAAGTATTTTATCTGTAAAAAGTATTCACGAGATACGTATTTATATCTAGTATTTCAGATACCATTCTAGAAAGTTATTTGCATCTGGTATGTGAAATACTTAATTTAAAAGTATTTTACATTTTGTATTCCAGATACTTTATTTAAGGTATCTTGTCATCACTGAGTATCTTTATCGACAAAAATATCGGAACGAATGGGAATCCCAAGAAAACTTCAAGATGTGGTTGAAGTCTGTAGCAAACGATCCTGCAAAAGCCTTTTGAACTTATTGTCATTGTCAAATATTTGCAAGACTTGAAGACATTAAAAGACACAGAGAGACAATAAAAAACATTAGGATAAATCTGACTCAGCGTCTAAAAACCGACAAATTTCATTTCTATTCGCTTCTAAAAATAATACACATTAATAGTTGAAGGAAATTTGTCCTTGTCCATTGCAGAATACACATACCACTTGAGTGAAGCTTTAAAAAAATGTATTACTGATTCAAAAGTGTTATGAATACAAAAATGTACAAAACGAAATGCAGTGCAGTAATAAAGAATGTGTTAGCTCCACTTTTCAAACAGATGCTATTGGATGATTTTGGTTCACAAAAGTATATTGCACTATTAGATGAATCCACTAACCTCAGTATATCAAAATTACTGGCCCTAATAATTAGATATTTTAGTTGCACGTAAAATAAAATTGTATCCGCGTATCTAGCACTAGCTGTGCCCCGCGGTTTTACCTGCGTCATAACGTGTCCGAGGTACGCGACATGACCTAGTTCAAGCATTTTATTACGGCTAGGGCTAGGGTTTATGCGTCGTCCGCGCACCCAGCCAAGTATTGAATTATTTTAATTTTACATTATTTCTTAAACTATGCGTCCAAAAAACATGGTATAACGAACAAAGTTTATCTTCATAGAATTGTCTTGATGATGAAGTAACTTTCGTTCGTAAGGATAAATAGGCCATGCCTAATAATAATGCTCATAAATCACTTTTAAATTTTCAATATTTTTTGTCACAAAATACCAAATTATGGCTTTTGTATAAGAAATAGAGATATGGTATTGCGAACTTTTTTTAGAGGGAGTAAAGATCTATATTTTTCTAGAACATTGTATTTACGTATCCCTAACTATAACACCAGCGCACGCGGATAAATCATTTCGGGAGTGCTTTTTCTTCTGACTTGCTTAACAAATATCCCAATTTAAGGCTAGCTGAGTAATATAGCTTAATGCTAGATAGCCTATACTATTCCACATGAATCTGGCTATAATATACAAAAAGAATTTTTCAAATCGTACTGGTAGTTCCAGAGATTAGCGCGTTTAAACAAACAAAAAAACAAAAAAGAACTCTTCCGCTTTATTTATTAATAGTATAGTACAGATAGTATATATTAGAATCACCGAGTAGCGCGAATGCTCGTGGAATTGTTACTGCCTTGGTAAACTGTTTACAGGAACATTGGAGGCCAACACAAATTGGAGTTAAGTGCTTTGAAAATGAAGACTCAAACCCAGTTGCTCTACGGAACACATTAGTGACATTGCTTCGCTCTATTGCAATGGAGTTCTAATGCCGTCGACTGCGAAGATTGACAAAGATTATTTGTCCATTTATATAGAAGCCCTCTTGAATCCGATTCCATATTTGGGATATCTTTTTGAATCACAAATAAAAAGCACCTCTTTACCCAATGATGTCATCAGTGCAGTCGAAAATTGCATTGATATTAATAAAAGAGATTCAGCATAAGTCTTTGATGTGTCCTCCTAACTATATCATTTAGCAGAAAATATGTCTATTGAGTGTGGAAAATACTCTTCGCCAAGACAAAGACAACAAAATAGCTGATCTTGCCATGGAACTCTGATTTGATGACGAAAGAACAGACTGGATAATAGATTTACAGCTGTGGCGTGGTATAAATTATGTTCGATGGAATGCTACACATAACGTCATTGACTTCTCTCTATATTTGCATTGTCATTTCCTCACTCAAATGCTGAACTGGAAAGTGCATTTAGTGCAATGTATACCGTGAAAAACAAATCAAGGAACAAAATGGCTGTAAACACTCAAAATAGCATTCTTTCGTAAGGAATCAGGTGAAGTTAATGAAAAAGAACTGTTACAGTTACGAGCTACCGGCTAATGTAATTACTGCTATTGGAAGCAATTCTAAATACACTTTTAAATCAAAAAAGGCTGATAAAACTGATGATCCATCACAGCCGTCTACATTCGTAATAACAATCAATCAAGATAATGAAGAAATACCAGCAGAAGTATTTGATGTTGATTTTTAGCTTTTTATGTGTGTTATGTTTATTCTCATTATTTTCACAATTAAAATAACCTTTTTATTACCTACCTTGTGATTTCATTTTTAATAATTTGGTGAATATGAGTATATATAAGTATAATATCCCATATAAATTCTAGGGATTTTTTAGTTAAAAATATCTCAAAATCTGGAGAAATTTCAGACCATAAACTAGTGATATTTTTTTTTGCAAGGTAGCAACACTGGTTATATGTCACAATCACACATAATCTCTCTGACTAGTATACAGTTATCTGTGCTCATAATCATATATAACCACAAAAATAATGATACAATTTCTAATGTATTGTAATCATTTAACTACAGTTTATTGTATTTTTGTGTTGTAATTAAATACGTAAAAGTCATTGGATGTTGGATGTCATGATGTTAAGGACTGCGACACGTTTAACTCCGTCGTTCATTATTCCTCTCTTTGGGAAAAGGAACGAAAATGATTATGATGCACTTCACCAACCCGCGCCTGATACATCGCAAAACGGCCTGGAAAGAGTAAAAAAGATGTATTCAAGAAAGTTAGTAAATAGTAACAAAGTTATAACTTCAATGTTTCTAACTGTTATTCTACTTACAAATATTTCCTATCCAGTGAGCATGCAGGCATATCTTGGCATAATTTTCTGGTTGATATAAACTTTGGCTCAACTGTACAACACCTATAATCTATATATTAAGATTTTATGGAATAATTATTTAATTACTCATGTGAAATTTACGTTATATACATATATACACTTGTGGCTTTTGAATGTGAACTTTAACAATCTAGAAATATAAGTAGGTTTACTAAACTAATATAATTTATGCTGAAGTGGCAATGGGCTGGCTATATTGCTCAAAGAACCAACAACTAATGAGTAAATAAGGGGGTTGGGTTTAGAATCAAGTCGCCTGAATTTGAGGAAGCTGTAACTGAGAGGGGGCAGGGTCAAGGAGGCTTATCTCAAGCACCCCCATGCAATTTTAGCCGCCCCCACTCCCTATTAAAGCGATTTTTCTCAGAAAATATTTAATAAAAATTTTAATCTTCAACATTTAATATTAAAAAGATAGCAGTAGAAAACAGTGGGGGGCGAATCTATCTGTCGCCTTTATAGGGTAAAGGCGACTTGATTCTAAACCTTAACCAAATAAGGTTCTCGAATGGTAGCCTCATTCCATTAAGCAAAGTATAGGGTGGCTCCCTGGCTCAAAAGCAAAGCAGAAGTTGATGAAAGCAAGTGGTGGAGGACCATACTTTGTAGCATTCATTGAGATTGGGCTGTGGTGAGCAGTGGATTTGTACTTGGTTGGTCTGTAATGATGGTGATGATGATGATGATGCCTAAGTATTAATAATATTTTTTTTATAGGATAGGGTGACAAATGAGCACACTGTCCACCTGATGGTAAGTGGTTGCTGTGGCCCATTAACACCTACATCTATCTTCGTTTGCGAATCAAAATGCGATGTGTTGTCAGCCATGAGGACTAAGATGGAATGCCTCTTTTCCATTAAAAGAGGTCTCCGGTTCTCTACACTACACTCACCATACGAAACACAGCAGTGTTAAGCTGCTATTTTAAGCTGGTATTCTGTGAAAGTGTGGTTCTTCCCCAGTCGGCCCAACCCATTCGTGCTACAACTATACAACTAATATAGCTGCAGCATGGCTCTACCACGTGACTGTAAATATTATAATAAAAATAAATTATAATAAAAATTTGTCTTTGATTTCCAATATATTGTAATATTTACATAGTGACAAAGGGGATGAATAATTATAATATTTTATTTGTCCAGCTATTAGGGTTTAGCTTGCTTCAACTAGTTGGAGCAGATTGCATTAGATTAATTGAGGTAAAAATAGGTGTAAGTCAGAATATTAACCCTAGATAGCTAATGTTCATCAAAATGACGAGTATGTAATAAATATTTCCCTCTCCCTTTCTAATGGTTTTACTTACACACTTGCAGTTATACAGTATCAGTATCAATGGTGAATATATTACCTACCTACAATTTGCCGACGATATAGTCATTATGGTAGAAATGCTGGAGGATTATGGTAATAGCTTACTGATCTAAATAATGTTTTCCAGTGGTCTTAAGATGAACATGGTCGAGATTTAGGTCAAGTGTAATGTCCATGTCATACCTCCAACTAGATAAATCTAACATTGACCAAAACACCAAACGATGGATAAAACTCAGCTGGGCAGCTTTTGGGACATTGCACATCTCATCACTTAATCCTCAAAATCATACATATGAAACTGTGGCGTGTTCTTTCACTGCTGGCCATATGAGGAAGCTTAGCTTAAGGTCGCTCAGCGATCTACAAAGAGAGCAAGGGTTGGTGTTTCTCTGTGTGATCTGTAACAATGATATTCGTAGCAGAACCAAAGTGCCCATTGGATCATTTAGTAGTGGCAATAGGCCAGCCATATAGCTCGACAAACTAACAAACAATGGGGGGAGAAAAGTTTTATAGTTGCAGCCTCCTACTGACAAATGGAGTGTAGGATAACACCACGATGGAGTGACGACCTGGTAAAACATGCAGAAAGCCTATGAATGCAGTTGGCTCAGAACCGTGCTTTGTGGCATTTGTTGGGGTGGCCTATGTTCAGCAGTGCTCTTGTGAAGAGCTGTAATGATGAATAATGTTGACCCAGACTATTAGTGGCAATGGAAAGCAGGGTAAGGTGCAGAATGTCTGCTACTTCTCTTCCTTATTTGGTTTTTAATGTTTTTTTTTTTCAGTGAATTTGAAGAGGTTTCAGTTGAACTCCACAATGTGGTACAGACAACACTATGTGGTGTATTTGTTGGTGCATGCATTGGAGGTTTTGTAAAGTCAAGAGATGCTTATATACACTTTATAGAAAGTAACCAGGCTACTGCATTTAAATCGACAATGCAAGCAAAGGTACTCTTTTTGATAAATAATAATCAATAATTTTGTGTTATACAAATGTGAATTAGCAGTCTACATAATATGTTTTACATATACATAGACCATAGGCTTCCTCTGATCTTTGAGAGGTCAGGTAAGTTATATCATAATATATCCTGTCATATCGATTATGGAAATAATTACTATTACTCTAAAATTATTTAACAATTAAAGCTTAAATTAATATTCAAATTCATAGCCTTCAATTTGATAGGCACGAGAGCTATTGAAATAGAGGTCAACCGATTATTTTTGATATGATTCAGAGAGTTGCATCTTTCAATAGATCTAAATAATTTGGTTCACATCTTTCATTTGCAACTGATTCTGAATTGAATCTCATATTGTACAGCATATTATGATATGAGAATAGAATGATTTTTATTCAATATGGATTATTACATAATACTTATTGAAAGTCATTATTTTATTTACCACTGGTTCGGAAAATACCTCTGTCCTGGGAAGAACCAGCAAGAAACCCAGCGGGACTTTTTTTTTTAAACATAATTTCACTTAACAATAATTTTGTTTATACAATTTTAAATGAATTTTCATAGAACCAGCATGGTGGTGATCACCTTATTCCCAGGGGTTATTTTCATTCATGTATTCCTTGATATTATAATAACCCTTTTTGTACAGTATGTATGTTTGTTCCTAGTGTTTAAGGTATGAACATCCTTATTCTTATTAAAGCTATTTATGTTTTTATGTACATACATTACATTTTCATAAATATATTGCGATGCCAAAGTTAATATGTTTATTTCTTTAAATTTTTCTCTAAGGGACTCTTTACAATTTAGATTATAAATCGCCCGTACGACTCTCTTTTGCAAAACAAATATAGCTTCAATATCAGTCGCATTACCCCATAGCAAAATTCCATAAGACATTACGCTATGAAAGTAACTAAAATACACTAACCTAGCTGTCTCAACATCTGTGAGACTTCTAATCTTTCTTACAGCATATGCTGCAGAACTTAGTCTGCTTGCTAATTTAGATATATGGGGGCCCCATTGAAGTTTAAAAGCCGCATAGAATAATGAATGCTGATTGAGTGAGAGTGAGCTGACACTAATGAACGAACATGCTGAAAGCACATGCATCATTTGATAAGCTGACCACAAGTTCACTATAGCATATGCATAATAGTAAATTAGTAAAAGAGATAAATAAAAGTATCATACGAAAGTGTTTTCTTAAATTTCATGTTATTAACATAACAAACTCTCACACAGAGGCGTAGGCATAAACAACTGCTCTTACTTCTCACAACTCACTTCTTTCACATGCATGTACAAACATTCTACAAGTACATGCTTGTTGGTTAATGTTACTCTTCACTTGGCCCATCTTCAATATATCGCCAATTTGGTCGATAAAATTCTATCAAGACACTTCTGCAGCATATATTTGCTCTGTCATGTTTTCTACATACATTCTTTCTATGTGTCCAAACGAAAGAACCATACTTTTCTTAATCCTCTTGAAACGATTGGGAGAGGACTGTATGCAGCAGAGGGTTGCTGAAGGCTGATAATGATAAAGGGAATATACACCTTAATTTTTACCTGATTCTATTATATAATCAAATAATCTGATTCTGTAACACATGATGCAATTAATGACAGTGTAACTCAAACAACTAAAGTTTTATTGCTTGTGTAATTTTTCCAGAAACAGTTACAAGATTATGTTACAATTGCATTTGCCAAAGGAGCTGTACGTTGGGGTTGGAGGTTGGGGATTTTCACAGGGAGTTTTAGGTAAATATTTAATATTTTTTAATGTTTTCATTGAACTAAATGAACATGTTATATTTAGAATATGTAGGTCACTCAATAAGTTTTGAGATATACAAAAAGTATTCGAGATACTATTCATATTTATTTTACATCTTTTCAAAATATTCTCCATCATGCTCTATACAAAGTTCAATTCGCCTAAACCAACTCTGAAAACACTTTTGCCAGTCTTAATATGACAGGTCGGAAATCACTTCTTCGTAGGCAGCCACGGCTTCTTAGGCTCTTGAAAAAAACTTGCCTTTTATTTTTTCTTTTGACTCTTGGGAACAAAAAGACATCACAAGGAGCAAAGTCGGAGCTGTAAGGTGGGTGACTTAGACTTTCAACACCAGATTCCTCAATAAATGCTTTTGTTCTAAGGGAGGTATGTGAAGAGGCGTTATCGTGGTGCAGCATGATTCCCCAAAGCCCGGTCTTTGGTCTTCTCTCCCATACAGCTTGAAAAGCTTTGGGTAATGCAACTGTAGTATACCATTCAGAGTTGACAGACCTACAATTTTCTAGCATTGACGTCGAAAAATGTCCGCTCCGCAAAAAAAAACTAGCCACCATTTTTTTTGCCGATGTTACGAGGTCTTTGCAATTTTGTCGGTAACTGTCCTTCTGAGTAGACTCATACCGATGATTGCCTTTTATTTTCTGGAACATATTGATCCATGTCTCGTCACCAGTAACGATTTCTGAAACACGCCCCGTTTTCAAAACGTAGACACCAATCCACACGAGTCTGTTTTTCGCTTTCGATGAGCAAACGAGGGATCTATCGACAACAAAACTTCCTCACTCCAAGATGTTGATGTAGGATGGTATGAATGCTCCCCGAAATAATGCTTACAATCTTCGATGTCCGTATATGTGATTCGTGGGTCTTCGCGCACCAACGTTTCAAAAGTCCATACATTTTCTGCCGTTACTGCTGTTTGCGGGGCCCCGGTTCTTTGGTCATTTTTAAGATTAACTTTACCCCTTTTGAATTCAGCAAACCACCTAAAAATTGTTGTACGTGGTGGAGCTGAGTCCCCTAATGCTAATTGTAACCGTTGTAAACTTAATTGTTCGGTTAGACCAAATTTAAAATCAATATGTACAAGCGCACAAATGTTCATGGTTAAGATTCATCGTTTTAAATGAAAAGCGCGTGAAGCGTTGCAGGAAAATTAATAGAACTTTGGTTTTTTTTTTAATATTGGGCTATTGGCTTATGGAGTTCTATTTTTAAATAAATTTGCATTTTAGAAACATATAACATGGGTGCGTTCCATTTTCAAATTTCGAGCATCTCAAAACTTACTGAGTGACCTACGTACAATGCTTTCTAGGGTAAATTGCTTATTTTAGCTATTGCTATTGATTGTAGAATCTACTGCTATATTTGTATTGTTCCAAGAATTCACACTGTAAATAATACTTCCTACTTTCACTAGAACAAAAGAAACTGCAGTTGACAACCTGCCTGCCAAAAGTGGCATCTATGGCAAATATCCCCAATACGAGGAAATCTACAGGAAGGCCTATGTTCAGCAGTGGACTTTAATAAACTATAATAATGAATGAAAATATGTTGATCAAAATTTCCATCACATACCAAACGATAAGACGTATTGTTTTAAAGCTTCTACTAAACATTTAAACCAAAATTTAAATTTAAAATCCAATTAATTGTCGTTTATTGTCCACGGACTTGTGCTTTTTCTTCTATGTAAACTTTTTTACGTCAACAAGAAATAATTTTGTTAATATTTTGCTGTTTTTTTCTTACAGTTTAATAACAACAACTGTGTCAGTATATCGTGGAGATACATCTTTAATAGATTATATTTTTGCTGGTGCAATCACGGGAGCTGTTTATAAAGCCAATTTAGGAATAGCTGCAATGATTGTTGGAGCTGGAGTTGGTATGCATATTCATCATCATCATCATCATCATTACAGCCTTTCACAAGTCCACTGCTGAACATAGGCCTCCCCCAAGGAAATCCACAAAGCACGGTCCTGAGCCATCTGCATCCATCGACTTCCTGCATGTCTTACCAGGTCGTCACTCCATCTAGTGGGGGGTCGCCCTACAATTCGCCTACCAGTACGAGGCTGCCACTCGAGAACCTTTCTTCCCCATCGGTGGTCGGTTCTTAGAGCTATATGGCCAGCCCACTGCCACTTCAGCTTACTAATCCGTTGGGCTATGTCGATTACTCTTGTTCTACTGCGGATATCCTCATTTCTAAGTTTATCACGCAGAGAAACCCCGAGCATAGCCCTCTCCATAGCTCACTGAGCGACTTTGAGCTTCCTCATACGGTCAGCAGTGAAGGACCACGTCTTAGATCCGTAAGTCATCACTGGCAACACGCACTGGTTGTACAATTTCGTCTTAAGGTTTGAGGTATGTCTAACGAGAAGATGTGCCGTAGTTTCACAGCAGCCAAATTGAATCCGTCGATTGACCTCTCGGTCGAAGTTGGACTTACCTAGTCTGACTATTTGTCCCAGGTAAACATAACTCGTCAACAACTTCGAGCTTAGTGCTCCCAACAGCTACCGGCATAGGTGTGACATGGACGTTAAACATGATCTTTGTTTTGTCCATGTTCATCTTAAGACCTATCCGTTGGGAGACACTATTGAGGTCATTGAGCATAGTGCTTAGGTTCTCCAGCGATTCTGCCATAAGGACTATATCGTCGGCAAATCGAAGGTGAGTGATGTACTCGCCATTGATGTTAATACCGCATCCTTTCCAGTTCAGCAGCTTGAAAACGTCTTCCAATGCAGTGGTGAAGAGTTTCGGGGATATGACGTCACCCTGTCTTACACCTCTCTGCAGTTGGATATTTTTCGTACTCTGATTCTGTACTCGGATAGCCATCGTAGCTCTACTGTATAAACACTTCAGCACTTCGATATACCGACAGTCAAGTTGGCACCGCTGAAGGGATTGCAGCACCGCCCAAATTTCGACGGAATCAAAGGCTTTCTCATAGTCAACATATGCAAGACAAAGTGGCAGATTGTACATGCATTATTATTATATTATTGTGAATATGCAATTATGCATAACATGCCAGGCGTGTCATGAAATATTTGTTCGCCGCCACATCTAAAAGTTGTCGAAAATCGGTGCCGCAACGAATCGGTTAAGTAATTTCGTTGTAATTTCAACTATAGTGATTTTTAGAGGTGTTTTCGCAAATAATTATGATCGAGTAAAAATTTCACAATCGTGTTTTTGAACAAGCAAATTCAAGATAAAGACATGAATAATTTACCTATATCAAAAATCCAGTTTCGTTAGTCGTGTCATACTCCTATACTATTCGATGAAAAGAGGTGTTTTTTTCGCGGTGTCGTCTTAAATTAACAAAGTTTTTGCCAACTGAGCGACCCTAACGAATAGAAAAAAAATAAACGTACGTAACGAATGTGCGTAGTAAAATAATAGGCGTTAGATATTTATGAATGACAATCAGTTAAAATAATGCATTACTCGCATTTTGAATTTAAAAGATAAAAAAGACAGAATGTTCGAGATTTTTTTTAATTAATTTTTCTTCACAATTTGCCTATATTGCTTATTCTGAACCTTCTCTGCAAATTGGCTGGTTATTGCAAAATAACTCAGTATATTATAAAATAATATTTAAGTGTGAGTGGGATGTACCAACTTCTCCATATATCAAATGTTGCAGCTGTTAATGAATAAATATTTAAATTTAAAATGCAAATTCAATAGACTGGCGATAAGGAGCAATATCACTAGTATGAGGGTATCGGTTCAGTGTTCATCGATGTGCAAAATCTATCAAAGTTACATACAAAATTATATTCATTTATTCATTACAGCCAATTCATAGTCCATTGCTGAATATAGGCCATAGATTAATTGCCTTAGGAGAAATATTTTACACAGTTACCACACTTTAGTTTCGCCATATCCGTCCGTCCGGCCGCGGTTTTGCTCAGAGACCCTAGATGCTACAAATCTGTATTTTGGTATAGTTATATATAATATATACGCCTAGAAAAAAGTGAAATAAAATCTTAATAAAACATTTTTATTTTTGGTATTTTCCAAATGGAGGATAATTTTTTTTACCTTTTTTTGCATAGGTTTTCCAAAAACATTGGGAGTGTGGAAACTTTCGATTCAGGGGTCCTTTTAAGAAATATTAAGCTTTAAAGTGGTATTGGAATGGTGGTAGAATTGGACATGGTAGTGGAATTAAATAAAAGACTACTCCAGCACCCCTGGAGAATCCCTCGCTGAGCATTCACGACCAAACTACTCCACTCCTGAGCGTGGGTGTTCAGGCTGCCCCGCGTATTCTTGGGGGGGGGGGGCAAAATTCCGCTCGCTACTAATGCTGATCGGGGCAAGCGGCGCAATAAAACCAAGGCGACCCCTGTCACGCTATCCATAAATTTTTGCAACATCAGGGGACTTCATTCCAACCTTAAAGCTGCCCATTACCAGCTAGAGACGGCGAAGCCGGCCTTGCTCTTTTTAACCGAGACTCAGGTGTCCTCTGTCTCCGGCTAATACTTCATATCTCTCCTACTCGGAGTACAAATTAGAACACTCCTTTGTGCCCCGGGCTGGACTCTGCGTATACGTCAGAGAGGACATATGTTTTCGACGCCTCGGCAGTCTTGAAGGTACGAACGTGGTACTTCAGGGTATGGAACTTTTTATTCCATCCTCTATGATGCCCATCGGAGGCAGATCACAGCCATGGTTTCGTCGCTCCTGTAAAATAGCATCACGCTATAAGCAGGAGTGCTACCAGGCCTGGGCTGACGCATCAACGTCTCGGGATGTAAACACCAGCGCACTTAACAAGAAGTATAATTCCGCCTCCAGGTCCTTCAAAACCGTCATTGCCAAGGCAAGGTCTGAGCACATCGGCAGAATTGGCGAGAAGCTAGTTCGCCTTCCTTCGGGAACCCGTACATTCTGGTCTCTCGCCAAGGCTGTCCAATGGAACTTCTGTCAGCCATCTCTTCCATCTCTGCACAGAGAGGACGACTCACTGGCCCATGCCGCAAAGGAGAAAGCCGATCTGTTGAGCTCTCTCTTTGCGTCCAACTCGACTCTTGACGACGGGGGGAACACACCGCCGACCATCCCGCGATGTGAGTGCTCCATGCCGGATGTGCGGTTTACACAGCGTTCGGTTCGCAAAGCACTCTTCTCCCTGGACGTCAGCAAGTCGAGTGGGCCCGATGGAGTCCCTTCCATTGTGCTGAGGACGTGTGCTCCGGAGTTGGCACCGGTTCTAACGCGTCTTTTTCGGTACTCCTACTCCCTAGGCGTAGTCCCAAATTCATGTAAGACAGCTTTAGTCCACCCGATCCCTAAAAAGGGTGACCGCTTAGACCCGTCCATCTACAGGCCTATCGCCATCACCTCCTTGTTCTCCAAAATAATGGAATCCATTATAAACTGCCAGCTCATGAGGTACCTTGAGAATCACCAGCTGATTAGTGACTGCCAGTACGGTTTTCGTCGGGGTCGATTAGCTGGTGATCTTCTGGTCTATCTGACTCATAGATGGGCGGAGCCAGTAGAGCCCAAGGGGGAGGCATTGGTCGTTAGTTGGACATAGCGAAGGCCTTCGATCGGGTCTGGCACAAAAGCTTCTTTCGAACCTTGCTTCCTATAGGCTTCCCGAGAAATTGTGCAAATGGATCACCAGTTTCCTTGCTGATCGGAGCATCAAGGTCGTAGTAGACGGTGCATGTTCTGATTTTAAGCCTATCAACGCTGGTGTTCCACAAAGCTGCGTGCTATCACCAACGCAGTTTCTCCTGCATATCAATGATATGTTGCAAACTGGTAGCATTCATTGCTATGCAGACGACAGCACTGGTGATGCCTTATATACCGGCCGTGCCAACAATTTTTGGGAAAACGTCGCCGAGTACCGGGACAAACTTGTGTCTGAAATCTTTGCTTAACAAAGTCTCGGATTGGGGGCGACTATATCTAGTCCAGTTCAATCCCCAGAAGACACAAGTTTGCGCGTTTAGCGCTTAAAAGAATCCCTTTGTCGTATCTCCTCAGTTTCAAGGCACTCGCCTTGCTGCCTCAGCTAACATCAGAATCCTTGGCATCGACATATCGAATAGTGTGCATTTTCGTGGTCACTTGAAAGAGAATGCCAAATTGGCCTCTAAAAAGCTTGGCGTGCTCAGTAGAGCGGGGCAGTATTTCATGCGGGCACACCGCTTGCAACTTTACAAAGCGCAAGTTCGGCCTCACATGAAATACTGTTCTCATCTCTGGGCCGGGGCACCCCAGTGCCAGCTCCTTCCACTTGACCGCATCCAGCGCAGAGCGGTTTGAATCGTCGACGGCCGAGTTCTTTCTGATCGGCATACACTGGCACTGCGTAGAGATGTTGCATCTCTTTGCGTATTTTATCGCATCTATCACGGGGAGTGCTCTGAGGAATTGTTCGGACTAATTCCAGCCGCTCAATTTCACCATCGCGCATCGCGACAAAACTAGCGATACCATCCATACCATCTGGATGATTGGCGATCCACCACTGTGCAATTTAGGAGAAGTTAGCCCCCACGCACAACTTCCTTGTGGAATCGATTACCACCAGCGATTTTGCCGGACCGATACGACTTAGGAACCTTCAAGAAAAGAGCTTACACCTTTCTAAAAGGCCGGCAACGCATTTACAATACCCCTGGTGTTGCGATTGTTCATGGGCGGCGGTAGTCACTTACCATCAGGTGAGCCACATGCTAGTTTGCCCCCTCTTCTATAAAAAAATCATTAGGGTCATCCGCTCCCCACTCCTCTCCCCCGCCCCTCTACCAACAAAACCGCTATTTTTGGAAATGTGAAAAGTATACACAGTAGTAGTATTTATAATGAAGTTAAAAGGAAAACTATCACAGCTAAGTAGAATTGAGAAGTTAACGAGTAATAGTCGACCAACTTATAAAATGCACTTGGATTAGTAAAAAATTAGTCACAACTCCACAGAATATGACCTAAAACTAGCTACATTAATAACTTTGTAATGTTATTGTAAACTGTTAAAAATAGACATTTTACGAAGAAAACGACTTATATGCACTACTACTATTAGCTTTACTGTTTCATTTGTGGGATATTTGTTTATTTATTCTTTATTGCATTCCTTAAAAACAAGAATAAAAAGAGCGGACTTAATGCGTTAAGGCATTCTCTACCAGTCAACCCATAGGGTATTATTATCAAAATCGAAAAGTTTTTTTAACCTCTTTTGAATACCACTCCCCCCTTATAAAGGCTGATTTGAAAATAAGTCCTTCAGTTACGATCTTCCCATTTGGGCTCATTTTTAGTCGTTATAGCGGTAGAACCGCGAACTCACTTATTAAGTGGCGAAGCTTGCGAAGTCACTTATTGATTTCACGATGTCTGTCCGTCTGTCCGTCTGTCCCACGATTATCTCGAGAACGGTTTTGAATTTTCAAATTCTGTTTTTAGCAATCGGTTACTGATCACCCAGGCATCTGAACCTGCTATTTTGAAACTGATTGCTCAACGGCAACCGTTAGAAACAGCTACAAAGCTGATTGCTTCGCCACTTTGCTATGTTGTTAGCTTGCTAGGTTTATTATGCTCATTATCAAGGAAGCCCACGTATTGTGACGAGCACCTACGGAACCCTATCTCTACATTGTGTCAACACGCACTTGGTCAGTTTTTATAATTATTTTAAACGCCAATTTATTTGGAAGTGACCTTTATTCTAATGGTAATTACAACAAACTTCAAAGAAGATCTCTGTTGTGTTTTCAAGTAAACTACGATAAAATGCCTCACAGCCTCCTGATATCCTTGAAATTTGGTAAATAGAAGTGAGCGTACTTCAACATGGCAACAGTAATAGAGTAACAGGTACCAAGAGGGTTGTACCAAACCAAACGAGGCAGAAGGGCAGCCGTATCGCCCAACCTTTATACTTTTTATAATTCATTGCATTTATATAAATAAATGCAATGAATTAGGGAGCTTCAAGAAAAGAGCTTACTCCTTTTTAAAAGGCCGGCAACGCACCTGCAATTCCCTTGATGTCGCAGTTGTTCATGGGCGGTGGTAGTCACTTACTATCAGGTGAGCCGTATGCTCGTTTGCCCCCTCCTATAAAAAAATGTACTATTTTATATTATTTGATTGCAGGTGCCACTTTAAGTACATTGGGAGGATTAGCTATTTTAGGTATTTTAAAAGCTACTGGAGTGACAATGGATGATATAAGACAAGCCCTTTACAGAATAAAGACAGCAAGGTATGTAAAATAAATTTTCTTAAAACAGCTACACATTGTTCCAAATGCTCCTTTAAACCTATTTAATTTCAAAAGACCATGTATATTATACTTGTCTGACTAGTTTGGTGGCATGTGTTACGTAATTGTCAACTGCATCAACAAAAAAAATTGATGAAATGTCAAATCCATATTTCTTCTAATTTTTCTAATTGTTTCTAAAAGTTAAAGGCATCATGCGATAATGCGCGATTGGAGGTTTAAAAAATTTGCCATCCTATTCTATACCGCGTATGTTGAAGAGACGCCTAGATGAATGGCTAGAAAGATCTCGTAGTCGAATAGCGGCATACTAATATTATGTACAGTCCGCGCGCTCTCTATCTTGTCCGGGCTGAAGTTAGTCGCGAGTGGCTGCGCAAAAGTAGTTTTTAGGAACAAAATAGTGGCAAGAGGAGTGGACAAGGCAAGGGAGGGTGGGCTCTAACTAAACTAGAGATGCGAATACGCATATTGTACGGTTACGATTACGTAAGTAATCTATTATCATTATAATCGATTATGATTCGATTTTATTTTATATTTTTTATGGTTCATTAATGTTACAACATGTCGTTTTATATACAGTAATTATGATGATGTGTATTAAATATGATATTTAAAAATGTTAAGTTATAGAATAGAATAGAATGATTTTTATTCAATATTGATTATTACAAAATACTTATTGAAAGTCATTTTTTATTTACCACTGGTTCGGAAAATACCTCTGTCCTAGGAAAAAAACCCAGTACTATATATTTTGGGGTTACTGAAAGAATTTGTTGTCCTCGCTAGTATTTACTATATGTTCTAACTGGTTATCGTAATACTTTATATGATTTTGTTTTACTGAAATACGTAAAGATATTTTCATTATAATACTGATTTTCAATATATTCTATAAACGATATATAGACAAAACAAACTGTTTCCCTAAGCAATCCTAGGAGTCTAGAATCTTACCTGCATAAGCCCCAGTGGCGGCGTGGCGTGGGTTGGCCTCCAGGGCGGTTTTCTGTCCAGACCACCCAAATAAAAGAAAATGCTAAACATGCTTACCGGACTTTATTTTGCTAAACTATTCTATTTATCATCATTATCATCACAAGTCTACTGCTGAATTAAGGCCTGACAAAAAGAATGCCACAAAGCTCAGTCCTGGGCCACCCGCATCCATCGACTTTCTGCATGTCTTACCAGTTCGTCACTCTATCTAGAGGTACGAGGCTGCCACTCGAGAACGTTGCTTCCCAATCAGTTGTCGGTTCTTCGAGCAATATGGCCGGCGCATTACAACTTCAGCTTACTAATCCGTAGGGCTATGACGGTTACTCTGGTTCCACTGCGAATATCCTCATTTCTAAGACGATCACGCAGAGCAACCTCGAGCATAGAGCTCTCCATAGCTCGCTGAGCGACCTTTAACTTTTTTTTAATGGAATAAGGGTGACAAACGAGCACACAGTCCACCTGATGGTAAGTGGTTGCTGTGCCTATAGACATCTACATCTATCTTCGTTTTCAAATTAAAATGCAGATGCGTTGTCAGCCTTCAGAATAGTTGTGAGGACTAAGATAGAATGCCTCTTTTCCACTAAAAGGGGTCTCCGGTTGTTTACACTCACCATACGAAACGCAACAGCATTAAGCCGCTATTTTACGCTGGTATTCTGTGAGAGCGTGATCCTTCCTCGGTCGAGCCGACCCATTCGTGCTACAAATATACTATTAATATAGCTGTAGGAAGGCTCTAACACGTAAAAAATCTTCAATACGAACTTCCTCATCTGGCCAGCAGTGAACGACCACGTTTCTAATCCATAAGTCATCCACTGGCAACACTGGTTTTACAATCTCGTTTTCAAGTTTTAAGGTATACCTTACGAGAAGATGTGACGAAATCTCCCGACCGCTGCACAGCCGAGTTGAATCCGTCGATTGATCTCTCGGTCGAAGTTAGACTTACCTAGTCGGTATATTTGTCCCAGGTAAACATACTCGTCAACGACTTCGAGCTTAGTACTCCCAACAACTACTGGCATGGCCGTTACACATGATCTTTGTTTTGTCCATGTTCATCTTAAGACATATCTCCACGCCTCCGTAGAATGGAATTAAGGAGCTTCTGGTTTCTACCCGCTTTCAGAAGCTCCGCTGTAACTCTATCCTCACCCGGGGACTTGCCATTTTAAAGGTACTGGAGAGCCATTCTAATCCCGCTCAGACTGACGTCCGGGATATCATCGGAATAGTGTCGGATAAGACTTGCATTTGGATCGTTTGTCACACTTGCGTGTGTTTCCAACAATGACATGTACAGCTGCCCATAGAATATCTCAATCTCACTCAAATCTCAGATGTCTCTGAAGCAATGGAACTCTTACTGGCAAACAGATCTCTGGCAAAGCCTTTGGGGCCTTTGTTTCGCGATTCGCTTCTTCAATACGAGCTATATTGAAGTTGTGTTGAAGTTGCGTAAGTCCCGAAGCATGCATTTGGAAATCTGTCTATTTAGTTATAAAAAGAAATCGAGTGGCGTGAGGTCTGGCGATCTTGTTGGCCACTTACGAGGTCCAAATCTACCAATCCATTGTGCACCAAACTTGTCATTTAGCCACTGCCTTGCTGTTGTTACAAAGTGTGCTGGCGCGTCATCTAATTGGTACCAGATTCGTTGGTATCGATGATATCATTTAGTAGATTAACAAACCTTTCTCCGTTCAAAGCCCCCATCAATGAATACAGGTCCGATAATGTTGTCACCGTGAATAGCTGCACAAACATTTACCGAAAATCTATACTGATGGGCTGACTCCCGCCAAACGCGCGGATTTTGGTTTTTGGGTGCCCAATGGTGCAGATTGTGCTGGTTCCACATGCCGTTTCTGGTGAACGTGCTTTCGTCAGTCCAAACAAATTTCGAAAAGAAAGTCACTGTCCTCTTCAATTTTACTCACTAACCACTGATAATAATTCACTCTTATTAATTTATCTCGCGATAGCAGAGTATGTACTTTTCTAAACTTGATTGGGTGCCACTTTTCGCGCTTCAATGTCCTATGGACGGTTCTGTGATGGTCTAGAAAATGCCTAGTGCTCTGGTTTTTTCTGGTTAGTTTTGGTTTGGTCTTCGAAATACTGTATCACATTTTCAGTTAACTGGTTTGGCTTTTGTCGTGTAGGAGGTCGATCAGGGCATTGAGACCTAGGATCTACTGGCCGGTTTTCGCGGATGAGCTGAAGAGCTCCTACAACATGATGATATATACTGCGATTTCGGTGCAGCGGGGTGAGAGGGCGCGCGTCGTCTGCACCGCCCGCTCGCCGACAAAGGGATGTCTCTTTCCTTCAACAGATTACTTATTCGTTTTAATTTCAATTCGATCTTACGACCCCGTCAAATGACCGCTGCGGGACAGTTCTCTAAGTACATTGTACATTGATTGCTCTAAGATGCTATTTTCAAAAATTTGAAATAAATCCCTAAATAATAACATTCAATTTCTTCATGAAACGAAAATGTGAAAACGTGTTAAATTAAAGTCACCATTGTTGCTGCACATTGTATACAGCTGGCATACAAAATTAAAAATTTATCATTTTTTGCATTAGCGTGTGCCAGTATCTGACGACCTTCCGCACAGGTCCGGATGTTTGGCGCGTAAAAAATATTGCCAAGCGTTTGACAGGTTAACAAAAATCAATATTTAAGGCTAGCTGAGAGGTGTAGCCAAATGGTAGATAACCTATACTATTCCCCATGAATCTGGCTATAATATACAAAAATAATTTTTCTAATCGGACTGGTAATTCCAAAGATTAGCGTGTTTATACAAACAAAAAAAAACAAAAATACTTCCGCTTTATTATATTATATATAGTATAGATAAGAAGTATAAGTGAAACAAACATGTGTCAATCCAAATCGCAAGTATAGATAATAAAAATATTTATTGCAGTCGCAATACAATATCCTTATCAGATGCTTTGTTTATGTTACAGGGAACAACAGTTTAATCAGGCTTTAGAGAAATCTGCGACAGAGAAAAACGACAACCTCACGAGGCATCACGATCTGCTGGTTAATGAAAAAGGAGAAAAGACAATTGAGCAAATTAATTAAATAAAAAACCCTTCTAGTTATCTACGTAATAGTTTTTAAATTAATTTCTGTAAATATAAATAAATTAATAGCAAATTATCTACCATTTTTTTTTATTTAATACTTTATTCAATAATGGTGTAATTAACTTTATGCCGAACGTGTGTAATAAAAAACATCATTATTAGTACAAATCTCAATAGAGTAACAGGCGGCATACATTCCTTAGCTAGGCAGTAGACCCATGGGTCTTATCTTTATACTCATTCTCCTGCCTGTTGCTACAGCTAGATGCGAAAAATTAACACATCTCATCCGTTTTTCTTTTGTGGGTACAGATATGTGAAATTGACGTCAAGATATCTTTAGATTGTTAGTCCTGTTCATGTCGTAAAATTATTTAGGAAAACGGAAGAAACCTTGTGACCAGAAAACGTGACGACTAGGACTGAGATAATCCAATGAATATAATCGGGCGGAAATCCATTAAAAGTGGTTGTTATAACTTAATTCGCTTAATTCCGCGTAAAGAAAAAAATGATGTGTCCTGTTTTAAGGGGGGGACAAAGTGATAAGGTGTATGCCCACAGCAGTGAAGAAGCCAGCACGCGTATTCTGAAGATTCAACGAGCACATTATCCTTCGTCACTCATGGTTTGGCTAGGAGTCTCATATTCAGTCTAAACTGAGGTGTTTTTCTGTGAAAAAGGTGTAAAAACCAGTGCCGAGGTGTACCGTCTACCGTCCTAACAAACAGTGGAGCCTCTTTCTCAAACAATGTTCAAAAACAGACATTAGATATTCCAACAGGACTCTACACCAGCTCATAGGGCACGAAGCACGCAAAACTGGTTGATCGCCCATGGAATTTATCGGACATGAAGACTGGCCCTCTTCTAGTCCAGATTTAAGCCCACTGGATTATAAGATATGGCAACATTTGGAGGAGAAAGTGCGCTAAACCTCATCAGAATTTGGAATTTCTCCGAGCATCTTTGGCTAAAGCAGCGGCAGACATAAATATGAGTGTGGTGCGTGCTGCGATTGATGCATGTTCCGTGAGTGACTGTGGTTTCAATAATAGAATAATCCTGATGGTTGCACATTTCACAGGTAAATTTGCAAGACGTCGTTACTATTATGATGCGTATATTTTATGTGTATGTGATGCGTATATTCTATGTTAAAAGAACAATGGCAGAAAAGTAACTGACAAAAATTATTGCGTCTAGAAATAAGTTATACATAAAATGAGTTTTATTATTATTTTTCTATGACTTTACAAATAAAAATGCATTTTAATTAAACCCACAGAAAAAAACATTTTTGAGAATATCAAATGACCACGGCTGGTAATCTTTGAGCAAAAATCTTTGACCGTATGAAATGCAGTGAGCAATCCAGAACATGACGTTTCCCTCGTCCCTCCCATCTCTTGCCCATTCCCGCTGCCGCCATTTTGTCATGTTATTGTCGCGTAGCTGTCAAGTTAGAAGTTTTCTTGAAAATTTTCATTTTGTTTTTCTATGAAGTATGAACTAACTATAAATTATAAATAAAGTTTTATTGGCATTTTACTGCTATTTTACGAAAGGATGTTTATTGTTTTATAGCTTATATATTTCGACGGGACGTTTTCTTTAGCTTTAGTGTATTTTGTATAAAAATTTTAGTTTTAAAATGTATTTTTAAGTGTTTCATTCCCAATTGTGCAAGTAACAGAGAAGAGTCTGACGGAGGCCAAAGAAACAAGTGGTTGGACTTTATAAACTGTGACAAACTTAAAAGTTCATTCCGTCTCAAGCGTCGGCGCGAGTCGGTCGTTTAACTAATTGCATTGTGCCGTGCGTATGTGTGAGTCTCGTGTAAAGCATCGGAGTTTAACGTTAACGCTATATCGACATCACTCGAGCGCATCGTGGAGATTTTGCACAGATTAATTTCATAACAGAGCGGTCAAGTTATAAACATGACAACTGTAAACAGTACATTTACGCAAGAGTGTGAAACTGAACAAGATTTAAGACCCGGAGAAATGAGTGTTAACGAGTCATTTATTGAAAATGAATCACCTCCTCCATATATAACATATCGGAAAGGTAGTAGCGTGATTCCTGCAATTTCCGATCTACAACAAGAATTTAAAACTCTTCAAAGCAGTTTACTTAACAGGCTTGATTCCTGGTTCTCAAAACAAGAAACAAAATTTAATACCCTTCTTAATGACTTCGACGAAATTAAAACCACGCTGAAATTTATCAGTGACAAATACGATGATTTAGACAAAAGAACTCATGATGTCAGCAAGCGCGTATCTAGAATAGAACAGCAGCTGAAATCCACACCGGTCTTCGAAGCACGTATCTCTGAATTAGAAACTAAACTGGCTGAATTTGAACAAAAATCTCGAAATTGTAATATTGAGATAAGTAATCTGCCTGAAAAACGAAGCGAGAACTTAATACAAATATTGGAGAATATTGCTAAAGTCATAAAGCAACCAATTTCTACTAAAGACATAGTTACAATTCATCGTGTACCTCATATGAACCCTAAGATTTCACGCCCGAAGAATGTAATTGTAAAATTTTTCAATCAAGCAACGCGTGACAACTTTGTTTCTGCAGCAAGACTATCAAAAGGAATCACAACAGAGCAAATAAACATGCATGGAGCCGTTCAAAATATATATATCAATGAGCACTTAACTATTCAAAGTAAGAATTTGTTTCGTCAAACTCGTGAAGCAGCAAAACAGAACGGATATAGATTTGTGTGGATCAAGCGCGGAACTGTACTGGTTCGTGCAAGCGAAACATCTGCTATTTTTGCTATACGAAGGGAACAAGATATATTATCGAAAATTAAACCAAAGGATACCAAATGATGGATTTACTTGTGAAATAGTTATTAGTAATAGGTTTGTGCAAGCGAAACATCTGCTATTTATGCTATACAAAGATAACAACATCAATTATCGAAAAGTAAACATAATGATACCACATAACAAATTTGAAAATAATAATATGAACAAGGTACGTCTTCTTATAAGATTTATTTGCAAGCTCTTAGTGTTGCATTACTCTATGTGTTGTTTACGACTGGGACAATTCTTTTACCACATATATTTTTCTGCGGTCACCGTCACAATGACTGTTTTGTGTTTACATTTTAATACAATTCACGATTTACATTTTCTAACAAATAGCATAATACAATTATTACCAACTAAATTACTTTTAAACAATCTTGTACACGAACAAATTTTTGCGATATATAGTTCCATATGTTTTTTATTTAGAATTTTACACTTTTTCATATGTTTTTCTTTTTTTAAATTATTGCTAGTAATTCTTAAAACGTATACTATTTATGAAGATGGCTTATAAAATACAGGTATACTATCAGAATTGTAGAGGTTTGAGGACAAAGTTGAGTACTTTATTCAATAATATACTGTTGGACCATTATGATATAATAATTCTCACGGAAACGTGGTTGACCTCGAACATTGCAGATAGTGAACTCATTGATTCGCGTTATGTAGTTTACCGATGCGATCGAAATCGAGAGTTATGTGGTAAAACAGACGGTGGAGGTGTATTGATTGCGGTGCGCAGGGGGCTAAATGGCACTCGATGTATTTTAAAGCCCACTTTTCACTGTGAAGACGAAATTATAAATGTCCCATCAAATATTGACTATGTGATACTTAAGTTTTATTCTAAGCAACATAACGAATATCACGCTGTTGGCGGTGTTTACATACCACCAAATCAACCTTTAACTGCTTATCAATTATTTTTTAACTCTCTCCAAAATGAGCTTATGTGTAACGAAAATACAAAAATATATATTTTCGGGGACTTTAATCTACCCCACATTGAGTGGCTGCAGTGTGACGGGAATACATGTACTCCAAATACACATTACTGCAAAAATCCAATGACTTTGCTCGTTTCAAATTTTTTATCAATTGTAGGCTGCAAACAATTTAATTTAATTAAAAATAATAAGAATCGCATCTTAGATCTTTTCATTTCAAATAATGATACAAGTACTTGTAAGTCACCACTAAACTCTTTAGTTCCAATAGACGTCTTCCATCCACCACTTAACGCCGAGATATTTTTTAACGTAGAATACATGCAATTGGCGCGTAAAATTTTACCAAAATATCGATTCTCCGAGGGTAAATATGCAGATATTAATGACGATATTAAACGTGTAGACTGGGCAAGTATTTTAGAGGTGCCGTCCTTAGACACTGCCACCAACCACTTTTATGAGGAGATATATAAAATCATTAGGAAACACGTACCTTTACGTCCAATCAAATCTAAAAAGTTTCCAATATGGTTTACACGTCCACTAATACACATATTTAAAAATAAAGAAAAATCATGGATAAGGTGGAAAAAATTTTCTAACCAATTAGATTATGAGGAATACTCTGTACTGCGAAAAAGATTTAAACAACTTTCCGCGCAATGCTTCAATTCATATTTAAGTAAAATTGAAACAAGTTTGCAGAAAGACATCAAAGTATTTTGGTCTTTTGTAAACAATAAAAAAAAATGTGGTATTCCCAACGTAATGTTTCACAATGGAAATGAAACCGATAATCCTGAGGACATATGTGAATTTTTTTCTAACTATTTTACTTCAGTTTATGAGAACAGCTCACTGATGACGTACGACATAGATTCACTTCCTTGCTCATCAAACACTAACTTTATTATCTCAGATATATCATTTTCAAAAAACACTATAGAACAATGTCTAAAAAACTTAGATATAACTAAAAGTTCAGGACCAGACGGTATCTCACCTTTTTTCCTCAAACATACTGCTAGCTCAATAAGCGTACCTCTGTTCTATTTGTATAACCGCAGTTTGCGTGAAGGTTTAGTGCCCACAGTCTGGAAATCTGCGAATATAACCCCAGTGTTTAAAAACGGTTCTAAAACTGATGTGACTAATTATAGACCTATTTCCTTACTTTCTGCCTTATCAAAAGT